GGGGGGGCTAGTGCTTGGGGAAAGCTGTTGATACCCATGTAATCAGCTGCTGTTTTCGGCCGGGCGTTATGCTTCCTCACAGCTTCTCCATAGTCATGTCGACGCCGAGCTGCAAGCACGTTATCCCCACCTGCTGGTGTTCCGCAGCGGAAGGGTTCAAGTCTCTCCGTGGATCCCGCTCTTGTAGGGCTACTGGATTCCAATCTGCTCAGTTCAACATTTGACTCTGAAAAAGTTTGTAGTTAGTTTGAAAGAGATAACATTTGGCAAGAGAGGGCTGCATTGCAAAGCTACATCATGGATCCAAAGCAAGAGGAAGACCAAACGTAAAGATGGATCAATGAAGACAAAGGGATCTTCCATAGGATTAATATGACAATCCAAAATGCAACACACTTGGAGGGGCTCTCCTATTCTAGAGGTTACGGTGTTTCATTAAATAGGCCCCAGTTCAAAACCTGACAGCGACAGAAAATTTTCTTCTCTAAAATTTTCTACTTTCATTTCCTTTCCTGCTCTCTAAGAATGAAAACAGCGTGGGTCCGCCGCAGTTCCGTCGCTGTTCCAGCGTAAAAAATAAGTTGTCACTGGAACGACGACGTACTGGATGGGCAAAATGTTTGCACCAGTCCTGTGCCCGTTCCAGCGCCGTCGAGATACTTGGGAACATGACAGCCGATTAAAAAAGGACGTCGTTATAGTAGAGTAGGCAAACATCTTGAGTTCATAGAATCCATCAACGGTAAGAAATCTACGGGAAGTTCCACCACCTTGTAGATGAAGTTTTGAATGATGAGGATAAGTGCTGAATGGAACCAAGCACTTTTTACTTGCTGCTAGATTAGATAGGACCCTATATCACAAAGAGAAAAACACATTTTCCAAAATCTATTAAAATTCTGATTAAAACTTTATTTGAATAAACGTCTCCTTTATTATAAAGAACCCGCCCTTTTCTTACAGCCTGTATCAAAGTTTCCACCTTTCTAGCAAAACGACAGGTCTGCCACGTGTGCAGCACGGGTTCGCGCTGGGTTTAAAAGCGGCTCCACTCCCAACCGCTTTGTGCCATTCATATTGCGTAAAATTTAGTCGTGTCGCTGAATATATAAATTGCACTTCGCCGGTTGGAATGGCACCGTTTTAAAACCAGTGCGAACACGTGCTGCACCCATGAAAGACCCGTCTTTGTGATATAGAGTCCTATCAAATCTAGCAGCAAAGTAAAAAGTGCTTGGTTCCATTTGATAATCACTTCTCCTCATCATTCACACTTCATCTACAAGGTGGTGGAATTACCTGTAGATTTTTCTCTGTTGGTGGATTCTATAAATCAATATCTTCGCCTACTATACTAATACTATAACAACGTCTCTTTTTAAACAATACGAAATCGTCAAAATCTTGGCTGCCGTGATCTGAAGTAGCTTGACAGCGCTGGAACGGGCATGGGACTGATGAAAACATTTTGCCACCCAGTACGTCGCCCTTCCAGTGACAACCCGTTTTTTACGCTGGAACGCGACGGAACGGCTACGGGCTCTCTCTGTTTGCACTCTAACCATGTTCTGCCGTCTCCTTTCGTTTCCACTTTCTTCCCACACCCCACTCCTCTTTGCTCTCTCCTCTGGGCTTCTGACTCTTTCTGCAGCCTTCCTACTTCTACCCCATGTTGTCTTTCAGCCACACCACTGATCTGAGGATAGGTGAGATCTAACACCTGGCCTTCTCGGGTAAGGGCAAAAAAGCTCATAGGTCCCATGTGCAAGTTGCGCACGTTAAAGATACCTACTTGAATTACTTAAATCTAGAACTGGGGTCTTAGGAAGACGGGATGCTCCATGCTTCCTCGCTCCTTTTCATGAGGGTTCATTTCAGTGTGGGCAGGCTGATTGTCTCCATCATCAGCTGGTTGTTGTAGCCTCTGTTGGGGTCACGCAGCCTGCTCTTCATACCTTCACCAAGCTGCACTCCTTTCGCAATCACAACCTCCTTCGTGAAAGAGTCCTCTTCACCGCTGATGGCTAGGTCTTCTCGGACAAGGGCTACTACAGTTGGAGGGTCAAGGGTAAGCGCTCCCTCTAAGTTTGAGCTTATCTGCTCTTTCGTTTCCCGTGACTCCTGCATGTCCTGGGCAGAAGATCCACTGCAAGCGTCTGATTTTTCTGTCTTGGATTGTCTTAAACCAATCTGTATAGAGGCTGCCGGTCAAGATCTTATCCAGAGTAGTCATTGAGTCTGTAACAGAGGTAACCTGCTGGTATCCATTAGTACAAAGCCATTTCAGAGCCTCAGTGGTGGCCTTGATCTCCATGCAAATGCTGGATGAAGTGAGGCCTGTTGCCCCAGATGCCTCATGGACCGTTACTCCTTGGCAAGAAGTCGTGTAAGCCCAGCCTGCTTTGATCCCACGCTGAACAGAGCCATCAGTGAAGGTGATGGTTTCATCCTCTCTGCAGTTCTCTTCAATTAGAGTCTGGATTTCCGCATGTGTTGCTACTTCAGGCCATTCACGACATTCACGCCATAATGTAGCAATCACCTGAGTGAATCTGTCTTTCATCTCGTCCACAAGCTGTACCCATGTCTCCCCTCGTCTGATTGCCCCATAAAGTGAGATACCTTGGTGGTCCAAAATCGGCTGCCACCCAGGAAAAGTGAGAAATTAATACCTACCAAACTAAAAATGTTTAAGGTATCCCGCACGCTCATTTGACTTCATGCAGTTGGAAAAGCCGTAAAACACTTACCAAAACAACAACAAAAAACCCAGTGATCACTGTTTGGTATCCACTACTTTTGATTTTACTTCCTTTAAACTAAGAAAGGGAATATATAAACTGAACATTAGCCTCCTAAGAGACCCCGACCATTATGATAAGAGAAATCTTTGCTACTAAGAGAGAATACTGAACCCATATTTACAATTGGAAATTATGAAGGTGAAAATGAGAGAAGTGTCCCAACAGTATAAGTATAGTAGATTCAAAGCGAGAGAAACAAGCCACCGAAGGGAAACATTATTAGCTAAATTGAACCACTTTAGTTTCATTAGAGGTTTTACGGCGCTCGCAACTGCATAAGGTCATATGAGCGCCAGAAGATTAGAGCTGTTACAAGAGAGTAGCAAACATAAAAAAGAAGAAGGGGAGATAAGGACGATAGATTGAACAACTTTAAAAGCTACTTGGGATGCGATAACTACAACCATAACTATCTATCCAAACAAATTACCAAAATTAAAAGTAAATTGGAGATAGAGGAATTGCATAGAACCAAAGGTGTCCAGAAAAGGGCAAGGGTCAAATGGATAGAAGAAGGGGAGAAATGCACAAAATACTTTCTATTGTTGGAGAAGTACAGGTCCATTGCCAATACCATAAAACGAGTCAAAAATGCCCATGGTGATCGTCTAAGAAATGAAATAGAAATTTCAGAAGAAATAGGCTTACAATTTAAAGCTCTATACACTAGAAGTCAGAACTCTAACGAACAATTTTCATAACACATTCGCGGACATTGTCCACAATTTTGAATTGCCTACATAGACAGAACCCGAGGCGGCTCTGTGTGATGATCCTATCACGGAACAGGAGGTCACAGCAGCCTTAAAGTGTATGAACAATGGTTCGGCGCCTGGAACCAATGGACTGCTCGTTGGGTTCTATAAAGTATTGTGGCGACATCTGAAAGGTCGTCTAATGGAATGCTTCGAATTTAGCTTTAAAGAAAGCATTCTTTCTCCATCAGAGATGTTAACGGTAATTACCCTTATCCATAAAAGAAAAGATCTGCCAACAGACATACTTGGTAACTCTGCCGTCGTAAGGGAAAACGACGAATGGTCCTGCGCAGGTAGCGAGGCAAATTTTTCAGGAGAGGCAAAAACTTGTTTCACTTCATAACTCTTCTATTTTCCACTCCTTTAAGCTGTAATTCACCAGATACCTGATTGAGGTGTTCCTAAAGCAGTTTCTAACGTTTGAATGGTTTAGGTTAAAAAGTAACAAAGTTATTCGACATTCGTCGTTCTCCCTTACACTGCGCACCCGCAGGTGAGCCTTGCGATGTAAGGGAAAACGACGAATGGTACGGTTCGTCGTTCTCCCTTACACTCGTGAACGTTTATGGGCGTAGGCGATCTTCAGTTGTAACGCATTATTGACAGTAATGACTGTGTACTGGTTACTACTAATAAAAATAAGACGTATACAAACTAGCTATTATACGTATAAAGTTAGGTGTTTGTTAAATCTCAACTGTAACTCGGTAAACTTCCTTCGTTTCCCTTCCTTGGTTAAACTACACAGTCAGTGTACAAATCAGATGTGCACACATTTTCAGCAGCTTGATTTAAAACTGTCTCACTCGGAACCAAAGTTTGGTTTCCATGATATATCTTTACTGTATTCTCTTCAGAAGCGAGTTTTACTTTTATTTTCGCTAATTGCAAATTTTTCCCTGCACGACCAAAGGGATCAACAATGTTACAATGTCAATAATACGATCAGATCATTGCAAAGTCAAACTTTCAAGTAAGAATGTAACAATCTGACAAGACTGTATCACACACGCTTTCGGGAGAGGTAATGGGACGCTTTGTATTTAATAAAGGATTCAGTTGATCGGATCGGAAAACATACCACAAAGTAGAGATCGACAAGAACAGTTTGAATCTACAAGACATTATTATACTCGATCGTAACGTCCATCACGTCATAAAAAATCGTAGAGCAAGACTAAGTGTCGCCACAATACGTCAACTTTTTAAGCTGGACAAAGAAATTTACTCTCATAACGCAGTGTCATTAATTGCTTTCTAAATCTATAGTGATGTCGACCAGTGACACGTACTGGACAAATTGCGGCACTATAACCATCGTTGTGATTTGGGATGTCAAATGACTGGACAGCAAAGTAACATGACGTTAGTCTGTGAACATCTGGCGGACACTAATATGCAGTGCTAATAAATTTCTCCCTAAATACTGTTTTGACCATCCCATCCCCACCCCTTTCCCCCTGTTCCCATCGGTTTTCCCCTCTCTCCCGCCTGCTCTTGTCAATTCACACCAGCAGCATAGGCGTAATACGTGAAGACAGACAGAAAGACACACTAAGAGATACATTCTTATAAACCATCGACGGTACTCCGGGAGAGGGGGTGGTGGTATGTTTGTTTGCTAAAAAAGCCTAATATGTTTGTACTGACGCAACAGTGACCAC